TCCTACTGGGATGACAGGAATTATTTTACAGATCCAATCAAAGCCATTAAATCTGTAAAGGTAGTCAAGCAGTATTCTCCAACTCGGCACAGGAGAGCCCAAGGGAGGTAATGCATCTATTTTTCAATACCTGAGGCCATTTTGTTTCCAACGTTAATTGCACTTATGCATTGGTTTGGGATAAAATATCTCCACTCATCTTGCTCCTGTTCCCACTTTTCTACTATTAGTACAGAGCTTAGGAAACATAATTGCCACGTGCGGTAGACAGCAATTTGAAGAACACTGTTTAGAGACAGTCATTTCTTTCCTATTGATTACTTCAAAATGGCTTGGCAGAAATGGTTGTGCTTATTAAGTTCTTTGCAAAGAAATAACTATTTAAAATTTAAATCCTTTTTTTCAAGAGTATTTGAAAAAATAGTCTATAATCTTTTCTGATTTGGTCATTTATGAACTTTTATTCTGGCCAGTTCCATTGAAAGGTGTAACTTTCAATGAGCTTTCAAAAAAAAAGATGTGGAAAATGAATAAGAGATTTTTACTTGGAGGTAGAGAAAAAAAATCAATAATGTTCTCTGCAAGACATGGAGTTGCTTAGCAATGCGAGTGGAGTAAGGACTGGGAAATAATAACAAAACAGAATTTTGAGAAATTACAAGTAGGTACATTGTTGAATTGGTTGAAATACTTATCAAGAGGCCCTTAAAGGAGAATGGTTATTAGATTTTTCTTAGCAATATTATAAAAATGGCTGATTACTTTCCAATGTTCTTCCTTGTACTTGGAGCAGTTTACTCAAGGGAATGCTGCTATTTTGAGTTAATGAACAGGCAAAAATCTAGGACAGACACATTGAGAATATGCTAGACAGCTTCACTGAGCCACTGGTATTTGAATCCTAGAAGTTGGATTGATTTAGTGTGAGATACATCAACCTTTAATGTTTTGCCATTATTTTGTAGGTACCTGTTTATATCATAGATGTTGCTACCTTTGCTAATATACCTCAGAATTTTTATGACAAATTATTTTGATATTGTCTGATTCAATCTGTCCCAAAACTAAGTTTATCAATTTAAGTATCTCTTAGATTCCTATCTTGAAAGCACAAAAATCAGAAACTTATCTGACACCAAAATTTGATCTGATTTTTCCGCCTTTCCCTGATTATGGTTAAATCCTTGTTCCAGGAGGAAACTGTAACCACAATTCTGGGAATGTCTCTGTATGTTTGAATTACAAATTTTGTCTAAGATTACAAGAGACATGACATAGAATAAGGGATTGATTGTTATAGAGATGGCAGAAATAGTCAGGAATTACAAATCCAAAATGATCAATGAATTCATGGTAAAAAATTATGAATGTAAACCATGTAGGGACTTCAACCCATGCCAGCTCAAGAACTTGTGGAATTTCTGATGGGAAAGGAGAACTTATGGATATCCAAGGAGAAAGACTTGATGAATAGATCTGAAGCAGTTCTTTAGGTAATAGACACCATAGGATGTAGTTCTAGAAACAGCTGTCCTACTTGTTTTTCTATATTTCTGAATTTTTAATGTGTACAACAGAGATGCTAGATTACCACTAAAATCTCATCCAGCTCAGTTAAATTCCAGTATTCATTTATTTGTTTAAAGCAGCCTCTGGGTTGAAATGCACCTTTAAGACAGGTTTTACTCTTTTCCTCCTCTTTTGTAATTTTTGTTTTCAATTTTAGGCCTGAGACTCAATCTCAGTACCTGATATTTTCACTTATTGGCTGTTGATGATCTACCAACTGAGCCATGCCTCTAACCTCTCCATTCTTGTTTTCTTTTTTTTTATTGTGAGAATATAGTACAGAGGAGTTATAATCACATGGGCAAGATAACCAGTACATTTCTTTTCAAGCATTGGTGCCTCCTCTTTGTTTCCCCTTCCCATCCATTCCTCCATTCTCTTTTTCTTATACTACCATCTTTCTAACCTGAAAAGAAGGGGTAGACCTTTAGGTATTTCTCTACCTCTGGAGGTTTTACATTTCTACTAAAATCCCAAATTAGTCCACAACTATATGATGAAGAAAAATCCTGTGTTTGTTTGTGTGTGTGTGTGTGTGTGTGTGTGTAATAATAGACTTTTTATGCTTTTCTCTGTTAATTTTTAGGCAGAGATTGAGCACTACCTAAAGATAATTTTGAATTGATTACTCCTTTCCTGTGGAATCTAGCACACTCTAGACACTAATTTGTTTGCTGTAGATCCTTCTTTTACTGGCTCCTGAAGACACATGACTGTACATTTTTCTCTTTCTTATGATCTCTGTTGTCTTGAGAACTCCTCCCCCTCCGTACATTCATTGTTAATTGATGATTAACAAATACACTCTTAATCTCTGAATTATGTTAAGATACAGATTTATATCTCCTCATTAGATCTCATACACACTTCAATTTCAGCATCCTCAGAAACATTCTTGATTATTTTCCTTTTTTTTTTTTTTTGGTTAGTCTTGGGACTTGAACTCTGGGCTTGGGCGCTATCCCTGTGCTCTTCAGCTCAAGGCGAGCGCTCTACTACTGGAGCCACCACACCACTTCTGGTATTCTAGTGGTTAATTGGAGATAAGAGTTTCAGGACTTTCCTGCCTGGCCTAGCTTTGAACCATGATCTTCAGATCTCAGCCTCCTCAGTAGATAGGATTACAGGCATGAGCCACGGGCACCCAGCTCTATTTTCCTTCTTAACGTTGTTAAATGCATTAATAGGAGGATGCTTTTAAAAACTCAGTTCTAACTTCTTTAGTTATTTAGTGAGCTATAAAGTCCTATGTTTTTAAATAGTCATATAGGAATATTTGCAAATTCTCATACCTGACATCTAGTTGTTATTTCTGAGGTTATTATTCCATCCAGATTTTCCCTTTTCTCACTTGAGTTATCCGAGTCTCCTAACAACCTCATTCGTCCTTCTCCTTACTCCTTAAAACCTTTCTGCCAGGTTCAGCTTTTGAAGCACAGCTGTAGGTATTTTATTTCTATATACTAATACAGTCTATCATCTCTACCACTCAAACATCCATAGAATTAGGTAAAGAACACCCAATGAAATATGAAGTCCTGCATGCCATTCAGCCAACTAAAATGTCTAAATCTCAGCTGATATTTTTCTATATTCTCTTTATAATTGTACCAAACCAAACTTCCTGGTGAACATACATAATTCTTTTTTAAAAAAATTATTTTAATTTTATTGTTAAGGTGATGTACAGAGGGGATGCAGTTACATAAGGTAGTGATTACATTTCTTGTTGAACTTGTCACCCCCTCCCTCATTTTTCTTCTACTTCCTCCCAATCCCTCTCTCAAGTTGTACAGATCATTTCCAACATATCATCTTGTGGATATTGCTATTGCATTGCTTCCATCTTTGTCCTTTTTCCCACCATTTTGTTGTTCCCTTTCCCTTCCATGATTCAGATAAATGTATACATAATACCTAGGGTACCAAAATGATATACAGTGACAACAGAGGATAAACCAAAGGGGGAAAAGCACAAAAGAAAAAAGAAATCACATAGTACATTAAAAACAACTGCAATAAAGAAAAACTTCTTGTGTTCATGTCTTGGAGTTCATTTCACTTAGCATCATCTTATATGGTCATATGTACATAGATATTCAACAATTCTGCTCAGATTATCCTAGACATGTCACTTTCTTTCATTAACTGAAGTTCACAAAGCAGTATCAGTTATGTGCATTTGTGTTTCATAATCAGCAATGTCTAGCAATATATTTCAAATGCTAGCTCTTCTGCAACATCTTTCCAAACAGTTCTAGTGAGATGTGACCCTTTCCATTAATCCTCTACAGCACCATAAACCTCTCTTCAGATATTATAATTTCATGTTTACTATTCTTTTTTCCTCATGTTTACTATTCTTGTTGGAATTTTTTCTTGGTCCCTCCCTAATTATAAAGCTCATAAATATGAGCTGTACCTTATCTATCTTTGATTGCTTTGAGAGGCCTCCCATTCATTCATATATAATACATTGAGCTCACTTGTAACTTTCTAAGGTTTCTGACTTTTTCAAGTATAATAACTAGTGAGTTGACCAAATCCAAGCTAAGTAGAAATCAATAATCTAGACAAGATTGATTCTGATTTAGGGAAATAAAAATCAAAAGCAAATACTGTTTCCATTGAATAAAAACATGTTAAAAGTTATAAATATTGAAGTATTTTGAGTGGAAAGATTTTGCTCTGAGAACTAGTATAAATAATCTCTTTATGTCTTTATTTCCTTATCTGTAAAAAGATGATAATACTCTCATCTACCCCAGTGGACTGCGGGAAAGACTGGCAAGTGCTGAAACAAGGCTCCATATATCACAAGAACTCAATAAACTGTAGCTAGAATGGCTATGAATTGCACTATCACTTCTTACCAGAAAAATTAGCTGAGCTAATTAAAATGATCCTGAAATGTTTTCATATCAGAGATCCTTCTAGAATCTGGTGATATAATTTGGGACCTGTCACTGTGCAGTAATCAAAAAATCTTTAAGAGTACTCAATAAACCATCAACTGGGGAGAATAAAGTATACAAGAATACTATCTAGGAGGAAAGATTAAAGCAACTGGAATTTTCCTACTGAAAATGGTCTTTCATGAAAGATTTAATATTTGTCTCAAAATATTTAGAATTCAGAAAAAGAAAACAGTAACTGTCTGCTTTAATTCCACTGAGAATATTAACTTCCATATAATTTGAAGTGCTTAAAATTAGAGAGAGCATGAAAAAATGTCTATGTACTGTGTTGGAGTAAGCTCCCAATAGAACTACAGGGTCATTTAAAGACAAGTCTGTATCTTGTATGTCTGGGACAAGGTACATATAACTTCATTCAAATAAAGTAATAGTAGGCACAAGCCTACCTTTCCCAGACACATAAGGAGAGAGTCAGAGAGCGGTGATCATGGCGTTTGTTGCCCTGCCTCTTACCTGAACTCTCATCCAGGCTCTCCTCAGAAACGTGCTCGTTCTGATGGACCCATTCACCATTGCACTTGAAGAAGATCTGCATGGCTGGCCTTGCTTTGCACCGGAGTGCGATAGGGTTGCTCTTGATGATATAGGCATCATCTGGCTCTTCTATGAAATGAGGCAGCGTCCCTGGAGCTGATGGGATGGACTCAGGAAGAACTTCACCATTGTCAGTTCCTGCGAAATGAACGAGGGCATGAGATTAGAACCCACATAGAAGATTCACAAATCAGAACACATTGCTAAACCCCCTTTAGCTCTGAGAATCTGAGCTGGAAAACTGCTTGTTATGCTAATGAAATGATTGTTAAATCTGCAAAGAGAAATTATCTTCTAGAAGCTGAACTAGCATAATATGGTACCTCCAGGTGGACATGCCTTCGGCTTGTGGGACAAATGAAAGTAATGAGTATGACACTCCCTCAGACTTCTGTTTGAATCCTAGTATCTGTGGGGCTGAGTTCACGGAGAGAACAGATGTGGTTTTCTGACAGATGTGTGAGAATGATAGTCGAAGCTACTCAGTCACAGATTGTCCCCAAAGTTGCAAATCATGTTTGTTGTTTGTTTTTCACCTAGAAAACTTGAGACCAGCATTTTACTTTTGATAACTCATCATGTTCAAAAGGAAGGAGAGTTCATTCCACTTGCCTCAGCCCATGCACTGGTCCCCGCACTTTTTCATGGTCTGTTATAAATCATACTACCAAGACTAAAATCAGCTCTGAGAAGGCAGTTTGTAGCAGTACTAACACCTGCTCAAAGGGAAGAAGCTGACAGAATTCTTCTCTAATCTCAGGAAACTGAGGAACCATTTCAAAAAGAGGAAAGCCAGCACAAAGACTTTACTTCTCTGCCTCTGCCCTATATTTAGCAAACACTCAGGTCCCAGGAAATTAGCACAATATGAAGGGCAAAGAGGTATGAATGCTGAGTGTACTGAAAATGCCCAGGAAGGGAAGGACCTTGTGAATTCCAAAAGCTAGTCCCCTGAAAAATTAAAGAAAGCAAAGACTTACTGGGAGGACACAGAGCTTTAGCACTAAGCTAAGGAAAGGAAATTAGTAAACCACCCATCAGATTCTACTCCCAGCAGGTAGCCTGGGGTAGAAACTGGGGGAAGGCGAGGCCTGGCTTTACATGGCTGTCTAAAAGCCATCATTTTGAGCACAACTCCTTATTACTATTCAAGCTCAAGTCAACAACCCAAGTCATTAAGCAACATTAAAGATAAACAAAATTCACTTATAGTAGAAGTAATGCTCTGTTTTAAAAACCTTTAAGAGGAATTCTCAAATTTTAACAAAGAAAAAATGGTAGAGAGGAGGAGCAGACTATAGCAAGTACTATGTGCAAGGAAGAAAATAAAAGACAATAAGTTAATGACTCCTTCCCGCCAGCAACATACAAGCAAGATTTGTCACTGCAATGTATTAAATATAACAGTACCTTGATTATCTTAAACAATTTTTCCTCTGTCAAGTACATCAATTTAAGAAAAAACCACACCCAGTATAACAAAGCATTTAAGGCACTATATACTTTGCAATGTATTTGTAATGGAAAACTTAACTCATATGTAAGCAATTCCAAATATCAATTAAATATTTAAGAAGTACCAACTTAACACAAAGTAAGTTTTGTAAAAAAGACCATTTCTTTCATGAAATCACAATCATTTAGAAAATAAAATGTGTGAAAATATTTTCAGGATAGACTCTGTGAGGAGTGTGTGTGTGTGTGTGTGTGTGTGTGTGTGTGTGTGTGTGTGTGTGTATTTGTGTGTACATCTAATGTATTAAATCATATTCAGAATGGACTTTACAAAATATGTCCTATATTAATTTATTTTACTGACTGTTCATACCAAACTCTATCTTCAATGAAGGCTTTTGTAAATCCATGCATTAGAGGAAATGACAAAGGTATTAAAAGATTTTATATGCACATCAAATGCTCACTCTTCCACCAGAGGCTTGAGCTCTGTCCAAAGCAATTCATTGTTTTCTAAAAGGGTCACTGGATATTGGAAATGCACAGAATTCCCAAACCTGAGTCAGCGTGGCCTGAGGGAGCAGGCAGAGACCCATTTCAACTCATGCATTTTTTACTGAAGTGGTAAAATGTGTGAACATGTCTGAGGTAACTATGACGTGGGAGAGGCTGGAGAAGAGGCTACAAGTGCTAAGTCAATAGTGAGACCCTTACCTATTATAAAATACTAAAAATAAATAAATAAAGGCAAGTGATTATGCAATAAATGTAGTTTTAACTGTCTTGCTTACAAAACCTAGGGAGATCTAAAGGCAATTAAATTTTCTTCCTGTCATTTTATAAATGTCCTTTAGATAAAAAGACCAGTGCAGCAGGCAGGAGACACACAGACCAAATGAATGGAGCTGAGCAGTCTGAATATAAGAAGGAGGCTGTCCAAGGGTCTCCCTTAAGAACTGATCTCATTGTAAAGTTGAAATTTCCCCTACTGTACAACTAATGTATGCCAATAAAAATAAACAATTGATCACACAATAGACAATTACGGAATCAGCTTAAGCGTCCATTAACAGATGAATGGATAGAGAAAATACAATACAAATACACAGTGGAATATTATTCAGCGACAGGATAGAAAACATGTCAATGTAAAAAGGGATAGTTTTATTTTGTCCTTCCCTATTTGGATGCCCATTTTTCTTTTATTCTTACTTTAATGTTCTTGCTAGAAATTCCAGTACATATTGGAAAGAATAGACATCCTTGTCAAATGGCAAAAGTCAATACGTAACTTAAAAATTAAGAAAAGTGAATGAAGGAGTGAGTGTGGAGTGGTGGGTAAGAATGCTAAAAGGGGTGGCATTGATCAATACTCCTTGTCTTCATAAACTGCCTTATTGAGTGGCAACTCCTTTGTACAACTAATTAAAGATAATTTTTTTTTAAAAAAAGAGAATGAAGTCTTATCTTTTACATGAAAATGAATAGATGGACATTATCATGGTAAGAAAAATAAGCCAGACTCAAAAAGGCAACTTCTATATAATAAAAAGAATAGACATGACATGAAAGCAGAAAGGGCACTATTTGGTAAGATAAAGAGGACCAGTGTAAAAGTGTGGAAGAGCAGAGAGTAAAAGTAATGAATATGATTAAAGAAAGTCACAAACCCATTATTTTGTGCCATATACATTAATCTAAAAAATCAATCGAAATGTTTGTGAGAGAGAAATAAAAGTAGAATACAACATTTTATTATTTTTTCCACTTATTTTTAATTGTTATTAAAAAGGTGATGTACAGAGGGGTTACAGTTATGTTTGAACAATGTCACTCTTTCCCTTGCTCTCTCCCAGTTTTTCTCTCCTATTCCCACCCACAAATTGTATAGTTCTTTTTCAACACAGTGTCTAGCAAGCACATTGATGCATTTATTCACCCTTTGTACCACCATTCCTTTGTCCATTGCTTACCCACCCAAAGACAGATAAACAATCAAGCAAGACAAAAAGAAAAGAAAACAAAAACAGCAACAAAATAAAAAAAACCCTTGCTTTCACTTCCTGGAGTTCATTTTGCTAAATATTATTTTATAGGTCAGATGCCCATAAGCATTGGGCCTTTGTGTTCCTTTTCTATGACTACCCTCATTTACTTTCATTGTGTGTGAATACCTAGAGACTTGTATAATTTATCATGTCCCAGTGTATTTTTGAACTATCCAGTGTGTTTACTGCTGGGTTTATAAGCACAGTCTAGCTACCACAAATGTGGGAAACCATGCAACCAAATGGTTTATTGGGGTGGCACTGGGAAGGTGAATCTGCAGGTACATATTTGTGCATGTATGAGCATGTATCTTCATCATTTCAACAAATAAATGAAGGAAATGGAAATAGATTATGCGTTACTTCCCCTTGCTTTGGCTTTGTGAAGTGAAGTGTTGGTAATGATGTGTGATGCTGCCATCCTCTTATGTTCTTCCCATGGCCAGCTCCGCATGGTATCAGGTTCTGGTCCTGGGAGAGCTTAATGCTGCCCTGGCAGCTTTCCATCTCATAGACAGAAGACTGGATGCTCCCACAGGCTGCCTCTGCAGGTGGGGGGGAGGGGGAAGCCCTTCTATCCCCATAGGACCAGGACACTTTTGCCTCTCACCCCTCTGTTTGGAGCACAATTCCTTAGAACCTAATTCTTAGGACATTCTTCAATGAAAATGGGAAAGAAGGAAACAGAGCAAGAGGAAAGGGGAACTATTTTAGAAGCTGACAGATATACTTGGGAAGGGCATGTTTGGGAGGTCACTTACAAATAGTTTTGTGGAAGTCTGCATGAATGCTTCTTCTGGTAAAAGGTAAATTTACCTGCAATCTCAATACATTTCCCACCACTTCATATTTTAGAGAGTTCTTTAAATTAGATTTTTAAAATTATTTTTAAGTAATTGTACACAGTGGTTACCATTCAACATATCAGAGAAAAGATCTGGTGTGGTAAATGCAGGTGACAAATGCCAGCTAAGTATCTTCTTTCACATCACTATTCTGGCAGAGGCAGGAAAAAAAAAATCACAGGACTCAGCTGACATTCTGGAAGGCTGACGTGGTAAAGTGGCATTGCTATACCAGTGAGTCATAAACAGCTTCGGCAAACATTCTTACTTTCATATGAAAATGCAGTTAACATGATTGCTTTATCCTTTGCTTTTTCCCCTTATGGGGAAAATCATGAGGGAACACTGAAGATGAACTCAAAGGTCACATTCAGACAGGGAACAGCAATAAGCAGATGATGCAACCCCAAGTGGACAAGAAACATCTTACAGGTTCCTTTTCCTCCTTTGTTTTTCATTCCTTCTGTTCTCTCATCTTTCAGTTTTTCAATTCTCCAGAGAAGTATATTGAGCAAAGTCACCAGGCATTGGTGATTTATGCCGGTAATTTTAGCTAATCAAGAGGCTGACATCTGAGAGGAGCATGATTCTAAGCCAGCCTGGGCAGGAAACTTCATGAGACTCTTCTCTCATATAAACTACCAAATTGCCAGAAGTGGAGCTTTGGCTCAAGTGGTAGAGTACTAGCCTTTGGCAAAAAAAAAAGCTCAGGGATGTTGCTTAGGCTTTGAGTTGGAACCCTAGGACTGGAACAACCAAAAAAGGAAGTATTTTTAGACGATAACATCTT